CTTGGTGTATCCATTGTTGAGGTTTGTATATTGTTTATCTCTTACTATTTTTCCTTAATAGTACCGTATTGCCTTGATAGTTGTTATCATTGGTTTTGACGTATGCGTGACTGCTGGATACAGTCGGAGAAGTCAAGAAGACGAAAAAATAGAATGCCATTCGCGACGATCTGTCATTACATATCTTGACTTATAATAACGTAACCACACATGCAGTGATTTTCCAAAAGACGCAGTAGGATGAATAAATGCTCCGTCAGACCGTATTGTGATTAACTGCCTCGTAACGAAAGTAACTACGTAATAAATGCCTATCGATAACGAATTGTGAAGGATATTTTGTACTGATACTCGTAACCTGCAAAGCATCTGAGTTAAGGTTACTTTATTAATTGTTCATTTCTTTGCGGCAGATCGTACAATTTTTCCCAGTTATGTTTTGCTTACTCACTGACAGAATTGCAAAGAAATTAAGATATACTCAAACAGATTGTAAGGTATTCTCACTAAAACTGTCTATTTTCACATGCTCTAAATCAACCCATCAAAAGACTTCAGATCATGAAATTGCAAAACATTTAGAAGAAGTGAATGCAAAAATCTTGCTTGATTTCAAGCTTGGGAAAAATATATGCATCCGAACGGTTTGCCGTCGATAAAGTCACAGGTACAACAACTAACTGAATATGCAAATGCGCAGTGAAAAACAGTACGACTATTGAATATAGTTCTCATGGTTAGGTTAATTGGTAGATTTCTTTGGTTTCTTCAGCTCTATTTTAAAGGCTTATTTTGCATCCTCCAAGGTGATGTGCTACACCATATTTCACATGCATTGCACGGATATTGAAAATTTACATCAGAACATCAGCAAGAAAGGATGTTTGTGCTACAAAGGTAGAGTTCAAGACCTGCACATCAAGAAAAAATAATTCTGTCGAAATACGCTGCTAACTCTTTATATTCGTCGGAAAACCACAAGATTTCCGGTTTTATGAACTTACCTACTGAAAGTGGGGCAAAAAATACGGTAAGTAATTGATGAAACACGAAGCTCAGAGCTATTGTCATTTTGCTAAGTACGAATCGGACGAAGGATGCTTTTGACCTCTTGAAACTTAGTGAGGGAATAATAAAAACGGAGCATTTGAAGGCAGTTACCAAAAGACAAGATTCACAAGTTTCTTGCATTTGGTGAACTACATTAGATGAACGAATGGGTAAAATTTCGCCGAAACTTGTTCGCGTTAGCTGCTACAAGGTGTAAGAACATAAACAAATAATTTTTAGCGGGGTGGGGTTTGGCAGATTTGCTTAATTCAGTTGATCCAATTACGAAACATTCGCGGC